TTTTGCTCTCTCCAATCATTTACCTTTTCTCTTCACTCTCCAAATGAGTGCCAGTTAGCTTCATTCCGATTGAAGATGGTTTACTGCAAACACCAGTGCTATTTGAAATAGTATCATTTCACAACCTAACACGAATTGAAGTAAAAATGGGATGTTTCAAGATTGTGAGTGTTGAGGAGATTCACGTGTGGTGATAGTTTATTGAAGAGGTTGAATGATCCCTCTCTCATAGGTTGTCAGTTCACACGCTCACTTGCTCTTGGCTTTGGTTGAAGTGTAAGAGAGTGAGTATCGATATGGGTGGGGAGAGGAATTGGAGGTACTTTGTACACCACCTGCACCAATTATAATTGGATGACAAAGTGTGTGCACGCATGTGTGCGTGTGTGCGTGCGTGCTTGTTGATTAAGAGAGTTATTCAATTGGGTGCACAAATGCCGAGTATGCTCTAGGCAATGTATGTGTGAACCTGCAGCAGACCCACACACGATATTGAATCATCTTGGCAATTCCTTGGTGTCAGAAATGTGTAAAAACTCTTCTAATAACCACTCCTCTGTTGTCTACTTGGAAGTGGATGTTGAGCTGATATTGAAAATTAAGTTGATCATGTGACTACCCAATCTCATTCCATTTTGCGAAATTTCAACTCAGATAACTTAGCTATTTGGCTGTGAGAAATGTCTCCAGTTCATCTCGCCTATAACTTTTTTTTATAGTCATCAGATTACAAGGAGAACAAAAGAATGATCGCCAAAGTTGACCGGTAGGACTTACTAATGACGATGCCAAGGCAGTCATTGCTTTGACAGACCAATCAGCAATAGGACGCTCAAAAGTCCCAATCCTCGTTTCTAAGGGAGAAGGTCCCACGCAAATGCCAGACTGTTAAATGTATTCGAATGTCTTCATTGCCTCTTGCTCTCAGACACGACGATTAACAATGATTTCGAGTGAACAATTTCTAACTTCTAGAAGTGTTGGGAATTTAATCTAAAATTCAAACATTTATCAATCTGCTATCCATGGGAATGTAATTGCAGGTAGTGTGCCATTTGATTGCAGAAGCATCAGAATTAGTGCCTCAGAGCCAAGATGACAGGTGCAGAAGTGAGAACCTCCAGTTCCTTTAACAATTCTTTCCGCTTTTTCCCCCCACAAACCATTCCCACTCAGCTGTAACTATGCTTCTCTTTGTCCGAGTGGTGTGGTATGTGTTGTACTTGGGGATGGTTTACTTTTCACTTGGCCCTTTGAATAGATCTGACTCTATCTGTGTGAAAGGTATGTTTCTGTTGAGCGTCACACCTATCTCAAATTCTTCCATTTGTCATTAGCCCTCATATGCACTCGCAGAACATGTGTTGTTGACACTTAAGTTGAAGGATTGACTTAAGCAAGTTCATCACAACCACCACTATCAACAATATATTCCAACCCACGAGAGTATTTCATGCAACAGCGAACGAAATGGGAGCGAAGTGAATAGTCCAATGAGGGCTTGAGGGGGATGGGATGGTCCAACGGACTCTAAGACTCAAGTAAGTGACTCATTGAAGTACACTTTCGCTAAGTTGGTACTTCATGTTCCCGAATTCAAATATTCTAATTCGTCTCACAGATGGCTCAACTCTTTGTTGTCCTCGACATTCACTGCTTATTAACCGATTCATTGATTAGAACTAGCATTCTTACTGCCCCGAATTCCCTCTCACAAATATCCTCAGCACGTTGAGGAATGTAATTGAGAGCGATTTCGCCCCATTTAGCATTTTCTTCGTACCTTTCTTGTTTAACTCTGACAACGCAGCAGGCCAGTCTCTGTGTACTTAAATGCACACTTCCATTGACCCACTTGCACATGAGCACACATTGATTGCACACGCTTTCTGCAGTCTTCTTCTTCAGGTAGAATGTTGAACTCAAAACACCAGGGTACGAGTGTAAATAAATGCAGTGTGCGAGACGAAGTAGAGAAGTGTTGGTATGCTGAGGCAAGTCTGAAAATGCGCGAGAACGCAGTTCTTAATGGTGTCTTTTCTTTTTGCGTCTAGATGATTTTGGAGCCCTGTTTCAGCAGAACACTTCCAGGATGGAAACCTCGACGATTGGGTGGGGGATTAGGCGGTTTCAAGGAGTCTGGCCAACTGCGTTTCGGTGGAATTGCCCGACCGTTTCGACGACCTCTGCGAAACACATCTCCATGACAATTGTCTCCTCCAGAATGTTCTTTTTTTGCTACTTTTATTTCATTACAATAAATCTTATGACAATAGTTCAATGTCAGCTTTGTACTATTGTTACTTAAGAGTCTGTTTAGTGTCATAGCGGGAAATTTAAATAGTCGTAGTTATTAATTGCTTGATTGGTTTACGCTTTCGAGGTAGGCAATGAACTAACCGGTTTGCATACCGGCATTTCAAATTGAACAGTAGTTTCGTTTAACATGGAGAGATTTGATAAGTTGCAAGTAGTTGAAGTAGGTCACCGCGCGGCCCACAACATCTTAACAATTAGATTTTGTGCCTTCTTCTACTGTTTTGCGCAACTGGTGTGTTAGTCACTATATTTGCACCCATTTCCCGATGTGGGTACGATTTTCGTATTCTGTCCTAGATTTAGGTCTCAGGGTGTCCGTGTGTGTGTGATGAAAAGCCTGAGAAATAAGGGAGTACTTATTTGGTTTGCTAATTGTTGCAGAGATCTACTTAGCTACTGCTCTTAGCTTATTCCATGCACCACATCTAAGACATCTCTTTGAAGCAGGTAATAGCTGACTTATCAGATGAAATGACTTTAAGTGGAGAAGAATGAACTGAGAAGCCACGACCGGTCAATAGGTCACCCTTCTTTTCTGCCCAGGTAAAGTGGACTCGAACAGAAACTCACGAAACCTGTAAAACCCGCTGTAAAGTTCGAACTTGTGAACATTGTCAATACATCCACCTACTCATATGGAGCCCCATTAGAGATTTCATTGGCTCTTCTCGACGCAGCTCACCCAGTAGTCTTATTTTGCCACAATTAGCCCCTCAAGTGCACAATTACTTGCTCAATTGCAGCGATTGGATAGATCCCCGTAACCCTGATGTTGCTTGGCTCGAGGCTGGGAACACAGTGGCTCTGAAATAGTATTAGGGTTATCTTACGACTGATAGTAGCAGTTTACGTAGCCATATCTGGGGGGGGGGGGGTTGGAGGGAATATACCTTTCGTGTTGGTCAATAACCTCAGAAATGCAGAATTATGACGTGGTGTATGGTGTGGAATGATTCATATTCACTCAAGGTGTCAAGAGATTGAATAGAACGCGTGGTTTTCGAGGTGGGAATAGATTGGTGGCCTAGTGGTAGTTTTCTACCCTCGTTACTCGGACCAAAGCATCACTTGGATGCTATTAGCGTTTTACTGAGCAGACTCTCATTTTGCCGTTTACTCTAAACAAAGTTAACATTTCAGTGCTCGTGCTTCTATCACGAGTGGCGTATACCCCTCTTTATCTGTCACATTTGCACTGGCTTTGTAAATTTTAACTCCATCTACTGTCCATTCTGCCTTGAATCAAGTGATCAGAATATTGGTGGATCTAGATAGTGAAAACAATTGGAACTGATATTTCCAACCCCTCTTTATTTGCTCAATAACAAATGGCAGGCTTTATGATATTTACCATTAGCCCTTAAACTTTGACTTCAGCTTCCTCCAAGGGTGGTGGTACATATATAAATCATAATTAATAGAAGTCAAATCAAATGCCGAGTGATAGACTTTTTTGCCGTACGAAGATGCGTTGTCCAGGGTGCACCACGTGGATGTAAGTCTTTCACGCACCCCAGCTCGATAACATTTTCAGGCTCAAATATGCTGCCAATGGTGAATTGTAAGTTCGACTTTGAGTAGAACAAAGTACGTTTAAGATCTCGCGAGTGGTATTGGGAAAGGACAGAGATGTTTTTCTACTCTGAGTTGGACAAAGTGAAATGTGATCTTGGAGGCCGGAATGCAACTGATGTTCCCCAGATTACCGGATGTGTTCTGAACATTCACGAGTCTGTACTTTACAATTCATTTCCTATAGTGTGTTCTAAGTTTGGGAGTAATAGACTAGTGTCTGTTTCCAATACACCTCGACATATTGTCCCAGCCCTGTTGACAGGGCAACAAAGGAGTGTCAAAGTGGCTCCGAAACAGACTCCTCTGTGAAAACTCATCTCACAGCTAATGAAATTCAACAATAGCTTCGAGGCCAGTGTGCATGAGTTGGAAGAAACGAGAAGTGATCCTTCATTGAATTTCCAATAACGCGAA